CACACACACACACACACACACACACACACGCACGCTCACGCATTCTCACTCTTTTGCTCTCAGAGGTGTTGTGCAGTTAGTCAGGTTGGAAAGGTACCTTTTCCGCCCATTTCTGGCAGGCTTCAGAGATCCGTCATCGAAGAAATTAACGGGGCCGGTCCAATTTCCGGTCTCGTCCCCTTTGAGTCGGCTAAACTGTTGTGCACTAGCAAGAAAATCAGTCAGTTTATATGGGATTTATTGTCCTTTGTGCTGCACACACACACACACACACACACACACACACACATACACAGACAAGTTCATGTATTCATCCACGCACATTCATAACTTCTCATCCACATTGTTTTGTTAAAACTCTTGAATGTACGACACCAAACATGGTTTCAAATGAATCCAGACATCATGGTTTTAAATACTTAATTTGTGCTCTGTTGAGCTGTTGCCACAACTCCGAGTGTCACTCCAGCGTTTACACACTTTACAATATTGGCTGCCGACAGTGTTGGACATTTAAATTGGTGTATTAAAGTCACTGTAATTTAAGGGGAGAACAATGATGTGCGCCAATTTGTTGCTGCAAATGTCCAACTGTGTTTAAGGGAAGTGATGCCAATAGATTTGCCAGCTCTCCTCTTGCCACTAGAAAGAGTTTGGACCATCTTTTCAGCCAGATGTTCCCCTCATAAAGACATTTATACAGGTATTTATTCAGACTTAGGTTTGAATCGAGTTTGATGGGTGGTAAATTTGCCAGAATAGACCATTAGGAGGCAGGTTAGCTTTTAGAGTACATTATTTAATAGCTATACTGCTTTTAGCCTTTTTTCTAGTCTTCAAAAACTGCCCAACATTTCTGAATAATCATAATCCACCTATCCAAACTTGACTGGGTTCATAAGTTCTTTTATCTGATGGATGATTACGCAAGTATTCATATGTGAGTCTTTTTTTTTTTGTAGGCGTTGTGCTCCTTTCATCAGGGAGCCTGAGCCCAATGAGCCTCTCTGGGTGCATTGTGAGCGTGCATTCATCACAGGGGACTTGGGTCAATACCTATCTGCGAGTGCTTTTTAGCTTCCCTGAGTGCCTTTTTAACATCCCTATAACACTCGGCGAGCTGCAACAGAAGTGAGCACGCTGAAATCAGAGGCTGTTATGCTTCGGTTTAAAACTAAAGCTATTTAGAGCAAAATGACTTAAGCACCATTACAGAGCACAGACTTTATTTACTAGCAACACCAGGCCTGATGAAAGCTGATTTTATAAAACCATAATTCATGATGTGAACTGATTCATTTGATGTCTTTAAGACAAACATTAGGAGAAAAGGGATTTACCCTCCCAGTTCTTTCCTTTAAACGCTTCATCCCGTTCAGTGCCGTGTTAGCTGGAACCCATCCCAGCTGACCCTCTGACCATTTATCTGCTGCTGACTCTATTAAAGCTCAGTCCGGTCCATAATCCAAGCATTAGTAGACAAACAAGCACAGAGGCGCTCTGTGCGCTCTCATTATACCATCAGCCTTGTCAGAAAACAAGACTGAAAGGTCTGGCTTTGTCAGTTCTGGGATTGGCTTTAAGCACCGTCTCATCTGATCAGGAGAATCCAGAACTCACTTCCTCTCATAAACATTTGTTTTCCTTCCCTGCCTCTTAAATTTGATCAAGAACAGTCTTCCAGTTACAAGAAAATAAAAATTTGGACTATTTGGAGTCTATCTGTCAGACTGTGACACAGCAGGATTGTGAAAGGGTTTGCTTTAGTCCCAAACATGTATTTTACCACCGTTAGCTGAGGTAATTCTAGGGGGGAAACTTCACCAATTTGTATTTATATTGTGGTGAACAGATTTCATCGTCTGTGCAGGAATGCTTTCAGACAGTTTTTAAAGAGGTGGCCAGAATGTAAAGAATAGACCAGTTTGTAGTTTTCTGCACTCACAGCATTGTGGGTAAGGGTCAAAGGTTATCCGGTTAAAACAAACCTGCATTGCTATTGAGTTTGATGTATGCAACTGGGTTGGTTCTGTTTATCTGATGTTTCAACACATTCTCACTCCCAAGTCGTCACATATTGACGTTTTTCAAAGGTCCCTTTGCGTCCAATTTTGACGCATCAGGTACCCCCCTCGCGTCAGTCCTTGCCGCCCGCGGCTTTTCCGGGTTGCGCCACCAGGGGTCTTTGGGTCGGGGGTCTGAGGTTAACATTAGGGATCAGGATAAATGGTTAAGTTTAGGGACTGGGGTCAGGGATAGGATGTCTACAGTGAACATTAGGTAATTTTAGGCTTTGCAACACGTAGTTGCCATGAATTTCCTACATTTTCTAAAAATGGTTAATTTTACGTATCAGGGTTAATGGTTAATTTTAGGTACTAGGGTCTGGGACAGGATGTCTAAAGTGAATACACGTAATTTCACGCTTTGGGACGGTAGTATTTGTGCATTTTCTACACTTTCAGAAATTACGACAACAGATTCCGCCCCATCCCGTCAAAATATGACGCAAGGGGGGTACCTGATGCGTCAAAATTGGACGCAAAGGGACCTTTGAAAARCGTCAATATGTGACGACTCGGGAGTGAGAATGGGTTGGATGTTTTTTTTTCTCAAACTATGAGAGAAAACACTGGATGAGATAAAATGCACCGCAGGGCATTTTTTGATCAAGGGGTCTATAATAGAAATTGCAATTTTAAGTTTTTATTTGTAAACATATAATTCTGTAACTTGTGACTTTATTTTTAACGATTTTGTACATTTAACAAAAATATATAGAATTATCACTTTTATTGTTTAGTATTTTAGTTCATTTTACCTTTATAGATAAACTGAGCAAACCACGAGATATTCAGAATATTTGTACCCCTGACCTTCTTTACCCAATGATCAAGCAGTTAGCTGGGACTGTATCTACATAACTCTCACTTTTAGTAACAAAAATGCTACTAAAACAAGCTCTAAAAGCAAATTTGTAGCTTAAAGATATTTATGAATCAGTTCAGAGCAAATACATGGGGTCTGTATAACAGTGTAAATTTACTGATTGAGTTTGTTCAGTTCCAATAGTGTTTCCACCTCAGTGTTTATCCCGTGTGACCTGTGACACAGCTGCTTCATGCATTTGTAACTATGAAATGGTTTCTTGTCTGACATCATTTTTTTTCTTACTGCAGCACAGTTTTTATTCATGAAGCTTATCTCTCCTAAATGGAGCATTTCTTGAAAAAAATGCATATCGCCAACAATTAATGTTTTAAACAAAGATCTAGTGTGATCTGTAGTATGTTTTGGAGATTACTTTCACCAGATAAAAAAAGACACTTTAATAACTGTAAAATTGGTTACATCCATTTTCATATTTTCATATGTTATGGTTGATTGGCTGTCGTGGCCAGGTTGATGACGTTGGTAAATCTACATCTTTTGATTATTTTCTGAAAGTAAAAAAAAAATCCATTTAGTGCTTTGTTAGATGTGTGCTAACAGATTCTACTCAGACTGTCAGATATTTAGACAATGTTCCCTCATGTTCTTGTGAGTTTTTTAGATGTTTTCACTGCTCTGATCATAGGTTTCTTGCAGGTCTACTATTTTACAAACTTTCATTTTTAAGCTGATTTGCCCAGAGATGCCAGATTTCTAGGACACAAAGTTCATGGTTTAATAAGGTCATTTACTGAATTGCTTTTTGCCCTTTTAAATATCTGGGATTGATGCACTCACAAACTGAAATGTATTACTAGAACCACAGTGCCTCCTCTGCAGCAGAGCCCCAGTTTCAGTGCTCTGGCACACATGAGCGTGTAGTAAACAGCCTGGGTGTGGTAAGACCCATGTGGACGCCATAGGATTGTCTGGGGAAAGCAAAATAAGGAGGCATCTTCCATTTTTAGATCTTCCCCCTTCTTTTTTCCCCTTTCCTCCCTATTATTCACACACTCATCCAAGCACAACCATTTCATCACTCCCTTTTCAGGCTCTCCTTGTTTCCCCCCTCTTGCATCTGTGCAGACAGACTGTAGCAAAATGGCTGCCGCTGAAGCCCACTGGCATCCGTTGTGTGGCTTGTCCCCCCCCCCCCCCACCCCACTCAACGCTCTATATAGGCTGAGTGAAGACAAGGAGCAAAGTCAGGCATAGAGAGAGAGGTGTGTGTGTGTGCGAGCGTGTCGGGTCTGAATTCATGCATCGCCCTGCAGAAATCAGGATGCATGAATCCAAACAGATTTCTCAGATCAGTCCAGCAGCATGGCAGAGGGAAGGGGAGGAGGGGGTTGTAAGTGTTGTGTGCTCAGATTGCAGCAAATATATGTTTGCTTTCAAGCAAACATATATGTACTGTCTGTTGGAAACAAAACTTGAAGATGGGGAGGAGGGGGGAGGTATTTATTTTCAATCGTTTTCTGGCTGCTGGGATGTGTCAAACTGAACAAAGAACGACGATCCCAGCTTCTCAGCATCTGCTCGTCTCACGGTGACTCTTTGGGGAGGCTGGTGGCCTGGAAGTCAGTGAATAAATGTCTCCTCAAAAAAAAGAGGGGTTTAAAGTGTGGGCTCAGCTCATACTGCAGAGCTGCAGTGGCTGAATGTGTGCACTAATGATTTGGGACCAAAACAGGGGGGAACAGCATCTTTACCATGTTCTGCAATCATCATAATCATCATCATGGCTC